TGGGCAACTATCCTTTGTATACAGCTTGCTCCCTATCAGAATTTGCAAAAAAAAAAAAAAAAATATGCAAATGTGCCTGGAAACTAGCCCTGGGGAAACTCTACACTGCCAGGAGTCTGGCTTCACAGGAACGAATTTCTTGAACAGGAGAGCACAAGGACATTTCAGCCCCACAGACAGACACGCATTTGGTGACTATTTGCACAAGCCTAGGGGAAGACTCTTTTAGACTCTATGGATAAGGCTACAGAGCTCAAATATTACATCTTGACTTTATTTGACTTCTCCTCTGAAAGACCCTAATGTTAAATTAATATCCTTATGCAAATCTTGTAAAGTATCTTCCACTTCATATCATTTATACTTTTTCAGTGATTCTACTGAACTTTAATAAGATCATTTCTGTCACATAGATGCTGAGCTCAATTTGTAAATGAGAAAAATGAGGCAACAATATGTTGTGTATAAGTAAACATCACTAATTAAGAATTGGAACTGAATGTATTCTGGCTTCCAGACCATTTGTTTCCCACTAAATTAAACAACTCAATTTGCTTTTATATAGTATATACGCTCTATATAGATATATTTAGAATCTACATATATATATATATATATATATAGAATATATCTAACATATTTGTAGATATATAGATTTAGAATATACAGATATTTCATGTATTTTTGTCTTCTAGCTGTCAATCATACATCAGTTACTCTCAATCTATTTTATTTGTACTTTACTACACAAATATATTTCTGATTGAGAAATGTCAAAGCTGAAACAACAAACAAGGGCAATTTTGAATCACTAGTTCCTCTCATCCTCAACTGCTAATAGGAAAATAATATATGTCTTCCCACAGATAAACAAAACTGAACTCTGGAATCCAGTTCAGAGAGGGAGGAGTGATGAGCAAAGGGGTCAAGAAAAGGTTGGGGAGACCCACAGAAACAGCTGACCCGAACAAGGGAGAGCTCATGGACGCCAGACTGATAGCTGGGAAACCAGCATAGGACTGTTCCAGACCCCCTGAACGTGGATGTCAGTGAGGAGGCCTCAGCAATCTATGGGGATAGAGGGATACTCTTTCAGCTGAGACACATGGAGGAGGGCCTAGACCCTGCTCCAAATGATGACAGATTTTTGGAGATTCCCCATGGAAGACTACACCCTCCCTGTGGAGCAGAAAGGAGATAGGATGGGGGGTTAGTGGGGGGCAGGGAAGGAGGGGAGGGAGAGGGAACTGGGAATGGCATGTAAAACAAGCTTGTTTCTAATTTAAAGAAACAAAAAAGAGCCAGGTTTGTCAGGTAGAAAAGGGAGTATGTTAAAGGTGGGAAATACAGAATGAAGCCTATTTCTGAACTGCAACTAGAAATATCAGTATAAGTATGATTTTTAAAACATATAGATTCAAAAACAGATGAAAATATGCCAAGGTATATTTATAATGTATATTCATAAATAAAGTGTATACAATACATAAGTTTGTGTTTCTAAAAAAATTATATGTCTGTTAATAATGAGGTTTTGAGTTAAAAACTTAAGATTTTATGAGAACTGTTTAATTTCAAAGGAATGATTTTATTTTGGGACATTCAACGTATCATTTTCATATTGGTCATACAATATAAATAAAGGGCATCACATCTGACATAATTATGTAGCTAAATGTCAATAAAAGTCAAACCCACTAATAACAAGCTTTTTCCCATAGGAGAAGTATAAATAACAAAATCATTCAAAGATGGATTTGACATAGTTAGATCCTACCATTGTTAACAGCCTGCCTATGCTTGGAGATAGGCTGTGGTATCAGTTCAGAGCTATAGAACATTGTTGTCAATATGTTCACTTCCTTGTACAAGCACCCACAGCACAAAACGTTCATGTCTCATTGAACATGAATGACGGGTACTTCTTTACTAATTACAGAAAATCTTCCCCTTTCTCTACATAATGTATATCACATCCAATCACATAGAATGCTAACAACATAGAATGCAGAATTTGGTTAAATTCTCACCAAATTACTTAACACACAAGCCCAAATCCCTCAATAAGCCCTTCCTAATTCTCTCTAAAAGGTCTCTTTGGAAAGTCTCAGGGAGTAAGAATTACAATAAAAGAGGAAAAAAACATAAAATTAAATATGTCTTTATGAGAGTACAAAATTCCATCACCACATCACATTAAGATAAAGAAACAAATGTAGAAAACATAACTAGAGGAAATGGAATGATATATATATATATATATATATATATATATATATATATATATGAAATGATTGTTTCATATATATATATATATGAAAAAGAATATACATTCACTGTAATGTGTTGGAGGAATACCAGCAACCAAGCTTCTTAAATAGAAAGGACACTGAAGAGAAATTTTATATATTCTAAGATGTCAGTGGTCACCACCATGGATTGAATGCTCAAGTACTTACAGCAATAAAATTTCAGAGAAAACAGCAACCACAATAAGGGAGGTTGGACAATGTTCTAGCTTGGTTTAGATAAGAAAGACAGACCACAGAGAAATTAAACACTAAGGCCATACACGAACTCTTTCATAATAAGCCTCAACAAGCTGACTCCTGCTGCTGCTCTATGCTTCTGCCCATCAATAGCAGTCCGGGTTCTCAGACAAGATATTAATGTAGTCTGGATATGGTGTTAACTGTCAGCCTGACAGAATCTGCAATCACCTGGGAGATAACCCTTAGGGCATACCTGTGAATGATTATTTAGATTAAGGTTAGCTTTTGAGTATGCCTCTGAGGGCTTATCTTGATTGCATTAATTGATGTGGGAAGGCCCACCTTAATTATTGTCAGGATGATTTTTTTGGTCTGGGGCTCCCAGACTGTATAAAGTAGGAAAGCAATCTGAAAACTACCAAGCACTCATTGACTTCACTCTGCTGCTTGACTACATGCAATCTGATGAGATCCTGTAAAGCCCTGATCACTTGACTTCCTGATCAGGAGGAGCTGCACCTTGAACTATGAGCCAAGATAATCCTTTCTTCTTTAAGTTGCTTTTGTCATGGTATTCTACTACAACAAGGGGGGAGAAACCAAGACAGTTACTAAAGTAGAAATACTATAACTACTCTTTTCTTTCTTCTCTCTTCATTTAGATGTCAGGCAGATGGCTTTCCCTCCTCAAAAGTAGTGAGAGAAATTGGACCTTTCCTAATGGAAAGCATCTGATGGAATACCAAACTGCATAAGTGAAAACTATTTCATTATTTGATTACCATTGTATGTCACATTTACAGTATCTTACAAAGTTCAAGAACATTTCTTAAAAGAAATGATCTAAAATCCTTTTCTTGTATTATTTCACTAAGAAAAAAAATCACCATGCACTATCACAGCTTAAATCCTACAGTAGTGAGGGCAGATGTAATTTGTGATTTTGTGTGATTTTTCTGTATCTGTCTGTACTGTATTCCAGATCAGGCCAAGGAGATATACCATAGTAGTATAACTATTTACTTTACTAGTGGTTCACTTCCTATCATATCTGTATCTCATAAGATAATATCTAAGGGATCCCAAACAGCAAGATAGTAACAAATGTTAGGGTAAAAGTTACAACCATTAAACTGCAACATCTAATATAGACTACTTACTTCGCTCAACATTTTACACAATAACGTGAATATTTTTCATTTCTTAAAATTACTGAGTGTGTCTTCTTTTTGACAATGCCAGGCACCTTGTTGGTTCTGGTGATAGCTTTGTAGTCAGTGAATGTGGCAGAATTTAGTTATAAAACAATGATGTTAAGAGACTTCCTTGTGTTGGTACAAAATATATATATTTTAGATCATAAGTGAAAAAAGTTCTAAACAGAATGAAACATTTGAAAAACCACAGCTGTAAGAATAAGTGTTTATTTTTTCTTTGAAAAGTTCATACATGGATACATTGTGTATTACATCCATTTACCACTACTTCCCTCTGTCTTCTCCTAGTGGTCTCCACCAAGTCATGTCATTTCTCAAACATTGAAGGGTTACCTTATAACATAGGACACTAACTTGAATAATCTGTGAGCATAGAAGAAACTGAATCTGTGTTGGAAAATATATTTAAAGAAAGCACCAGTAGGATCTTCCACCATGTTGCTTTCATACAAAGTAGTTTATGAACTGCTCTAACAAGAAACCATTCAAAGAGCTAAGGAGCGATTTTTGTTTTAAATATTGCCTTTTGCCACTCTTGTTAGCCATTTGCCATTCACGGTCTTCGCTATATCTTCAGGGAGGAGTCTATCATTTATGCATTTATGATCAGGCAGTTATTCCCTAAATTTTGCACCCATTGAAAGCATAAATTAGAATTTCTTATTCTTTATTCAACTATTTGCTTGATGGTTGAATAATGTAAATGACAATGTTATGGAAACTTGGCTCTGGGATAATGGGCAGAATTATGAAAGTCAGATGATGGAATATTAAGCAAATGAAAAACATTATGATAATATAAGTACACTCTATGGAAGACTATACATATTGTCCTATGATATTTATCAGAAAATATTGGCAGTGTTGTCACATGGTCAGTGACAAGTTACCTCCCCTGATGAATGGTTGTAAAGAACACAAGGAGAAACAATTCTAAGCCAGTTCTTCCTGGTTACATACGAAGGTAATGACTCACCTTAGACCTGAGAAATCTTTGTGACTCTTTGCAATGGACAACTCTGAACAAATAAAATATTATTTTAAAATATTAATCTATACATATAAATTTAGGAAAGATGAACACCAATTGGTGCCACCCAAGAAAATGTACATAGCTACAAACACAGGCACCAGAGAAATTACCCCGTTTTATCCAGATAAGAGATAGTAATTAGAGGAAACACTTTTCCAGCAAGGCTCAATATTAGCTGTATGCATTACATATGTCAGGTACACCAAGTAAAGTATATGTATATTAATGCAAGTTTCAACAAATGCCAAATGTGCTTACCTGGACAAAGAGCAATATTACAAGGCTTGTGATGTGTTTCAGGTCCTTCACAGGGCCTCCCTCCATACTGAGGAGGTGTGCATGACCTGGTTCGTGTTCTTTGGCCTCGGCCACATGTAAATGAGCATAAGCTCCATGGTGACCATTCCTCCCAAACTCCATGTACTGTAATAAAGCAAAGGAGCTTCAGCCACAAAGAATCAAAGTCAAAGACTTCTTTCTGTATAATTAAGAAAAGAAATCATCAAATACAATATGGAGAAATTTTGAAAACTCACTCTCCACAAAACTCTTATCAACATAAACTTTTAAATTTAATATGTAAATGTATTAAAATCACAAAACTCTATGTGCTTCTCTTCTACAGTTGAACCAAAAATTTTAAGCTATTCCCTTTTTAACCTCTTTAAATGGAAATCCCCCTTTCTTTCTCTTGATAAAACATTCATGAGCTATTTTAAAGCATGGTCTCCCCTAAAGAATAAGAAAAATTAAATTCCTCAGAACAGAACTGAACTTTTAGAGTTAAATGTGTGTTTAAATAGCTAACGACCAATTTAGTTCTAGTATCTATGAAGTTTCAGAAATATTTTGTGTTAGAAAATGAAAAATACGTCCCTGAAAATTGGTAATATGTATTTGAAATAGTTTTTAAGCTAGCATTATTTAAAATATTTTTCTCATATAAAATTTTGCAAGTAAATTCATCATCTTTTGAGTAGGAGAATATTCAACCACAGGATTTACTCCTATAGCATCCCACCCCCTTTCCCCATGTCAAGGGAAAACACTCTGTTTCTAAAAGCCATGGATCTAGAAGATAATCTCCCTCCTCTTACAGCTTGATGGAACTGTAAACTCTCCTAAATACATTTCCAAAACAACAACAACAACAAAACCAGATTACATAAAAATAGAATTAAAGTAATCATGGGAATACCAATGCTTCCAATAGCTCATTTTCTATAATTCAAACATGACTGGAAGCAATACCATGTGCTCTTTCTGAATGGGTATTAGATGCTGTGTAAATAAATGCTGGTAGTTTAAGTAAGCTTACTGGACTTCAACTTTTAAATCCTTCTTCTGAATGTCAAGCTACTGCTCTCATCCTAATTATTAACACTAGGATATTTACCTCACAAATAAAGCGAGGACAGAGAAGCCAGGAGGAGTGTTCTCTTGAGAACCTTCTGTCTTGATGCAGAGCCTGTGCCTTAGAGCTCTCACACTGTCTTGAGCACGGATGGTTGGGGTCACTCCATGCAGGAGTGAGGGAGTACAGACCCACACCAAAATGGCAGAAGGAGTTTCAGGTTCCTCCTCCAATTAGTAGCTCTATGCGTAAGTCCATATAAAATGGAATAGGTACCTTCTAAGTGAATGCAATATTTCTAGAATTTTCTTCATGTTCTTACCTTAAAGCTGAAATCTAGCTAACTAGCCAGTGCATTACCACAGGCTGCTATAGTTTTGTGGTTAAGTACTTCATATCTGCTCTTTCGGGGTCTTTAAAGAATATTATATAGCTTTATAAACTATGTTAACGTTTCATATTGCCGTATATAAGTAGACATATCTCCAAGCATTACAAAGTACACATTAACACAGAATTTTACATTGTAATGCAAATAATCTGACTAAATTTCAAGAGAATTCCACCTTTATAAATAACACCTTTATATTGAGGTATATCATTTCTTTCTATTTATTTTGTTTCCTTATTGCAATAAGTTGTGAAAATGTGTTCAACAATGAAAACAGCAACCCAATTAGAGTATAATTCAATGGAAGTCATTTAACGATACTTTGAAAGTCACTGGAAAGTCTTTTTAAAAAAACAATACTTAGCAAAAGTAACACAGAGAGCAGCAAGTTATTATTTTCTTCATCTACCTCGTGATGACAATCTGGGAAAACTAAAGCTAGTTAGTATCTACTGGTAACAGAATATCTAATATCTGCATTTAGCAATGTACACATGTTATATAGATTTTAAATATGTGTACCTATGTGCACAAATCTATGTAAATATCAATCATAGAAGGATTTCTCTAACTAATGTTTATGAATATATTTTTGGTTACATTTTATCAATTTTTACATGTATTTTGTTACCAAACTTTTCAAACTAATGATAACCCTCTCCACTATGTAAAAGTGTTCATATGACACTGTATGGTTTTTTTTTTTTTTTTTTTTTTTTTTTTTTTTTTTGGTTTTTCGAGACAGGGTTTCTCTGTGTAGCTTTGGAGCCTATCCTGGTGGCACTCACTCTGGAGACCAGGCTGGCTTGAACTCACAGAGATCTGCCTGCCTCTACCTCCCAAGAGCTGGGATTAAAGCTGTGCACCACCAATGCCCGGTTCTCTCATGATGTTCTGGACATAGAGGACGCCACGTGTAGTACCCACAAAGACTCACTTGTTAGTCAAACCTTCACTGTAGCTTCTGAATCATATGTTTGATCTTTTATCAAATTACTATAGTACTAAATGTACATAGCACAATGCTAGAAAATATTAAATTGCTGAATTTGCAAATTTTCCTGTGTGAACCACAAAAATTGCCACAGAACCTTATCAGCTTAGGTAAATCCTGTTACTAGAATCAGAGAATTAACATTATTTAGGCATTTAACTTGTATTTATTGTTATACATGGAGGTTTTGTGATTCAGTTACATCATTTAAGTTTCTAATTTCTTATGTGAGGAGAAATTATTATAATTTGTCATTTCTAGAGAATGTTAAGTTGACAGGAAATCATAACACATGTTTTATAATGGTTAAACTATACAATGTTTACATGAGAGAGACTATTAATAAATTTTATGTTAAGATCAAGTTTTTAGTTTAATGTGAAATTGCTATAAAAGATCCTTTATTTTGTAGCAAATTATAAAAATTCATGAATTATCTAGTGAATTTGAAAAATAGTACTATTAAAGTTATTTAATTTACAACAAATTCATCCATTTTTATAGTTTTCTTCTTAATCTTTGGTATCAGATATATTGTCATATCTCTACTTTGTATAAGCCAAAGAGAAAATGAAATATATACAATGTATAGAACACTATCATCAGGTTTTGAAGTAACCATCTGTAAATTTTCATATTATTTCGATTTCATTATATATAAAATAACCCCTTAAGTGTAGAAGCTTTGCTATAAATATAAATCAATATGTTATAGATGACATTCATTTAAAAAATCATTCCTTTGCCTATTTTAATGTCTACAGATCAATGATTGTCAACTGGAGGTAACTCCACTCACAGGGATATTTGCTGATATCCATAGACAGTCTGGATTGCACCGGTTTATAAGGAAATGAAATGCTACTGGCCTCAAGTGCGTAGAAGCCAGCGAAGCTGGTAAGCACACTAATGAGCCATATGGCCCCCTTGAAACAAAGATTTATCAGGGTCTAAATGCTGGTGTTCAATCAACATGGGTTGAGAACCCGGGAATGGAATATAGAGATGAAATTCAGCTGGGGCAGCAACTAAAGAATTAACTGTTGCTCTCTACCTTTCCCAATCTACTTTAAGCATATTCCATATGTTTCTATTCTAAATGATAACAATAAAATTAAAACAATAACGTGCCATTAAAAAAGGCAAAACAACAAAAAATTTGCAAAAGATCCAGTGTGTATCTGGATAAAAGAATTTGTGAATTAGTGAAAAGTAAGTCACTTGTCATACTAGTGACTTTCCTTCATGGCACAAACAAATACAAGCTCAAATACTGACATTTCACACATTTTGTAAAGAGTTAATTTAATAGTGAATTTGTCCTTTACTTGCTCCATGTTCATTAACAAAATTATACAAAAATTAGAATTCTCTAGAATGACTAGGTCAGGTATTGATTTGTGATCAAATTTAACTGGAATTTGTAATTTAGAGAAATATTTACATTGATTGAAATACTTCTTAAATTTTAAACCATTTAAATATTTACTCCTCATTTTTCATGATATATTCAGAATAACATTTATCAATATGGTGAACAAAAATCAGCATATGAAAGAAACTCCTATTTCCTGTCACTATGTACTTATCTGACATTTTAAAAATAATGAAGACACTAAATTATCCTTTGTATTTGTAAAATTAAAGATAAAAATTGAACATCAATTCACCAAACTGAAGTATAAGAATGATTTATTTTTCTTGTGAGCAATACTCAACCAAGATTTAGAGAGATGAATAGTTTAGATACATGAAAATAAAAGATAGACTAAAAACTGCTCACATTCTTATACATGGTAAGAGTAAGAGTTTTATTAAATCAGAAATGCTGTGACATATTACTCAGCTTGATTTTTTTTCATGATACACAGGGAGAGAGAACTTAGAATCCACATGTGGGTCCTTCCACAGATGATCTCAGTTCCCAGTTGAAGTCCTAATCTTCCCCCTCTGTAGAGAATAAAGACTTCTATGTGTGAACCTTATACAGGTGTGTAACTGGTGACTAGAAGGTAAGCTATGAATTTTGTTTAACACTTTGGAAACCAATCAGATTACTGCTAAGGAATGTGTTTTTCATTAGACCCTGTAAGCACATACTAACAAGTTAATTGTATATATCAATTATATCATAATGCTCTATTGATACTGTTTTAATTGATGAGAACAGGGAATTCGACTTTGTAAATCATCAGGTAAGTACTGAGGTTAGACTTCATGGTTAAGCATTCTCCCAAAAGTCCCTATTGTATTCTACTCAAATAGGGATTCATAGCATTTATGTTGAGGTCTGAAGGTTTCACTATGATACTCCAAGCCTCTTTCTCTCCTTGTCTTTTTTCCCCCAGCTCATGTAATTGAAATATGTTCGGTCTATGATCTCTACTTTCAGTCTTTCATCTTCTTTTTAATTTTCTCGATGACTCCTTTACATTTCCCCATTTGATTTGTATTATTTTTCATTCCAAATTCTTCCTTATATCATGCAGTCCCGACTGACGCCTACATACATTCAATAGCAATTGTCCTCTTATTGATGATTGTGTTTTTTTTTTCCTGAAAGCCTTAGTTTCTGTCTTTTTAGCTTTGTCTTTTCTGTATGTTATACAAAGGGTTCTCACACCTCACTGTTTGAGATGTTTGGATACAAAGGGTTCTCAAACCTCATTGTATAAGATGTTTGCATACAAAGGGTTCTCACACCTCATTGCATGAGATGTTTGGATACAAAGAGTTCTCAAACCTCATTGCATCATTCCACAATATCTCCTGCTACTTCCTTCATTTTCTCTTTCTTCCAGGATATTTATTTTCGTTTTTGTTTTTAAATCAAAACAAAATAACATAAAATAACATAAAATGATCCATGGAAACTCTTTGAAGTTTACAATTCAGTAGCATTGAGTATATTCATGTAGCAATCAAACAGATCACCAGAAGTGTTCTATTTTGAAAATTTGAAGTTTTATACCCACTAAAGAACAGCCACCCTAACATTTCTTATATGATTACATTTGCCTGTTCTGCTAGGAAACTGGCATTATTCCTGACCATTCTTCCAGGCCCTTCACTGTTGTTTTTAGCAACTAAGACTCAGTTAATACTGGGAATGGAGACCTCTAGAGAATACTTAAGCATGACTTGGAGATTGCAAGGCCTACAGTGCTAAGACCTTTCTTTAGAACATGTGCTTTTCAGATACTTCTGTAGAGTCTATGAGAATCTAGTATACACTGCTGCATTCATGTAGTTGCATTCTTTAAATGACTCGGGACAACCTAAACTCCTGCTCTGGAACTGATTGGAAAGTCTTCATTGTTTTAAGATGTTGAAACAAATACAGTAAGACCATGCACATCATTAAATCATATACTTTTGATGTAAAGTATATTTCATCCTAACCAGACCTCTCTCTGTTTATTAAAGTAATAGATGGCTGTGATGAGAGCAATCACTTAAAGGTTCTTTATGAAGTAAAATGAAACATCTTGTTTAAATCTATTACACTTATTATTATTTTTTTCTGATAGGGTCAGATGGATGATAAAATTGCTGACTGAAAAACTGCCAATCACATGTCATATTTCTACTATGCCTGAAAGTTTTATTTCCTCATATAGCAGTTGGATTTTTTTACCACCTAAAAAAACAAGAAAAACAACTGATTTTTTTATGCTCGTTGAAACAGCTACAAAAATTTCAATCTTATTTGAACTAGGGAGACAGTCACTTATCTACCATGCTGACTGCTCTGAAAGCAGAAATAATCACATACAGATTGAAATACCACAGTCGAGAAGAATTCCACTTATAGACTCTAATTAAAATGCCTCTACCCAGTACATAAGAAAATAACAAATTGTTCCAAATGCGTAGCATGACACAATTCAAAACATCCACAGTCGTAGTTGCTGCTAACACTACCTGGACAGAGGGCAGTGTTATTGCAAACCCTTGATTCTCTTAATGGGCCGCTGCAGTGTGTCCCGTAAGGTGATACACAAGTTCTGGTTCGCACCTGCGACCCTTGACCACAAGTAACTGAGCATGTGCTCCACTGGGACCACTCTTCCACACCAGATTCACCTGCATGCAAGACAACAAATAAACATGAAATACTGTCTTGGTTATTCATCTTGTAAGCACTGTTTCAAACTAACACTGTGACATGCATGAATAATTTAAATGCAAATATATGACAGTCCATCCAAAGGTAGAAAACATTTCAAATGAAAATGAAGTTGGGGGATGTATACAATGCTGATACAAAGACTGTTTGTCATGACTTTGTTGGCAAAACCATTCTTTGCAAAGTCCATTAAGCTATCAACACTGTGAATGAAACAACCAATAGTTTCAGTGAGAATAATTGTTTGAAGTTTTCTTCAAGCCCATCTAGGGCCCTGTAGTTGGTGTCCAAAGAGGCAGAATGCATTTCTAATTCTACTCTGAGGCTTAGGTGAGCAGGGATGCTTTGATATGTTCTTGCCTAGTGTACCTGAAAACTACTATGCTAGTTGACAATTTCAAATGGATTTCCTATCTTTTCAGCCTATGCTAGCTATTTACTTTGTCGTAATTTCTTAAAATCCTTCTGTTTCCCATTTCACCCCTGACCTAAAGAAGTATTTTTTAACTTCTCTAGCATTTATATTAACTGAACTAAAATTTACTTCAAAACAGGGTCCTATGAAGCCAATTAGTGTTGGGCTTCATAAACATTGTAGTGCTTGGCATTGCATTGAAACTATGCTTAGTTTTCTCATTATCTGAAAACAAAGAACAAGAAAACAGGAAACACCAATTTTAAAACCACTGGAGTTGGCTTCTAATTCTATTCTGGCATCATGTCCAGGTTGGATTTTAAAGCCTGACTTGAAATTTTACCATCCAGTCATATCTGCCTAGCAGTGTGTATTTATTAAGCATTCATGATGTTGTCAAAACTTTTTACATGGAAGGGGTTTCTAAGAGCTTTGTGGCACTATTTACACAGGCAAGGAGCAATTTACCTCTATATCATGTACTTGGTATAGAATAATCATTTGGAATATAATTCCAAGGGCAGAAATGGCAATCCATTTGTCTATCTTGTTCAGAAGAGTTAGTCCATGATTAAGGAGAATACTAAATGCTAAACAAGTACAAACTGGTTCTGAAGAAAAGAATGAGTTTGCACCAGCCTATAAGGCAAAACATTCTTCTATGAGGTGTCTACTCTAAAAAGTGTGTCCACTGCTAGAAATCCTATTTGATGAAGGTGCTGACTTTATATTCTGCTATAATCTGCTTATGTTTTGAAGGCTCAGAACAACCAGTTTGCAGACAAACTCTGTTAGCGGGATCTATTGAAACTCTGTTAGCAGGATCATGGAGAATGTGTTCTTGTGCTGGTCTAAAATTATTCATGCAGAGGCATAGATAACAATTCATCTATACCTGGTTATCTATCAGAAGTGCACATGCTGGTAATTTGGGTGTCAGCTCACATTAATTAGGGCATCTTATAAATATTGAAATCCATGTTTAACATGGATATACAGTAATAGATCTCTCTTGATTACTTCAGTATTTTTTACCTTTACAAACTTATACATGGCTAATTTGATAAATATCTATTTGGATGTCTGTTTGAGTAGTGTTTGAAGTTATATCTCATAATTTGCTCTACTAAATTGAATTGCATTTTAATAAAACAAAAGTCATCATTTGGTGAGTCCAATATATGACAATGGTTAAAATTATCTACACATATGTGCATACATAATATAAGCATACTTAATAATGGAAACCTCAAGCTTAAAGGTAGGGGAAAACAGTGTATATAGAAAGACATGCCAACCTGATTGTGATGATACTGAGTATAAATACTATGGCTATATGTTATCAATTATAAGCCAGAAAGTTAAGAACAATGTGAATTCTGTAAGTGAAATGACAAAGATTATGAGAAACAATTAGTCCTACTTTGCCACAAACACAGTTCTCTCTTGCATTGTAATGAAAGAGGATTTTAAAAATTAAACTTAGCAGTGAATTCATATCAAGGCCCAATTTAAAGTATAACCTCACACAAATGTTTGGAAATCTGACTTGCCTCAACAACTATGATTCTGCATGGCCCTAAGCAAGATAAGCAGTGGTGCTGGGTCATGAGGCGTCAATCATGAATGCTAAGAGAAGCCTTCCCACAACTCATTTTGCAAATGAAAGTTTAAGTCAAAATAAACACATGAGTCATAAATTGTATTTCAAATCTAGAATCAAAATTTGCTACTAAAATAATGGTCTAACCATCGACTTGATCTTGTGCTATTTCAAGCGACATTTTCACTGCAATTTTTATGCTAGTTTCTTTGTTCCTAAGGTGTGAGGTTTACATAGTAAAGCACATTGAGTCATGTTAGAGATAGTTAATATACTTTAAAAGTAAGATGTTTTAACGACACTGGGAAGTATTGCAGTCAACACTATATTGCCTCTGGGGTCTTGAAGAAGTCCTCTTATGTTTTGAAACTTTTTACTAATTTACCTATCTCAAAAGTTGCTTGTAACTTTTGAGTGAAATGATGTGGGATAGTAAATTTAAAATCATGAACAAGATATTAATATTAATATAACTTTAGTGTGTTAAAATCATGGAATTAGAAACACCTTTAATGTTATGTTCCTATTTCAGATCAAATATCATCTATTCCTACCCAGGCAGTTTTGTTTTCTAAACCTGTTTATAAAGTCACTTCATACCAATGTTGCTTAAAAGTAAGATTAATTAACATTTATCTTATTCCAGCTCATTGACACTTAGCTTGGGTTTATCCATTAAATAGACATACTTATTATTTTATTTTCCATAACTATATATACAGATGTTTAACGTAGGTTTTTATTCTACTTTATTTTGTTGTATATGTTAGGTTATAGCTACATGTATGTATGTGTACTATGTTCATACAGTGCCCACAGCAGCCAGAAGAGGGTGCAGGATCTCCTATAACTGGAGCTAACAGCTGGTTGTGAGTCACCCTGTGGATTATGGGAATTTAACATGTGTTCCCTGTAAGAGCAATAAGTGCTCTTAGCCACTGAAGCTTCTCTGCAGCCTTATCTGAGGCTTTTATAGCAACCTAATTAATGTTCATTCTTGCCTCAGTTACTATCACTAGCAATAAGACTCTGCTTATTCCAATGAAATAATGCTACCTCATAAAAATGTCATTTAAAAATATTCACTCACTCTGCCTCTGTCTAGTAAATCTTTCTTTAAAATAAAAATAATTACTGATTGTATTGACTGTTGAAGTCGGTTCACTTATTTGAGAAGAAATAAGGTGTGGTGGCTTTGCTTTAATTTTGCATGAGACATATAACATATTATGGCATTTTGTAACTCTATTATTTAACTTCCCTCCATTGTATCATATTTAGTCCTCAAATTACACTTAGCAAAATTTCATGACTGTTTATATGCAACATTAATACCTTGATTTGAGAAATAGACATGTTCTACAGATTAACTTAATTCTGTAAAATGTTGTTGTTTGGTACTTTATTGATAATTTAGTCTATGCTAAATTCAAAAGAAACAACATTTAAGAAAATTTCTCTCTTTTAAGAAATATAAATGCCAAGTATCCAACTATGTATCTTAAAATGTTTATTATAGTGAATTTTCCTTTTTTCATCCAGCATGGTAATTTAATATTAAAGAAGGTACTACACACATGTCTATATTTCCATATGCAACATTTGGTTTAAAATTAATGTATAACCCTATTTCTCATAAATTCAAGAATCAATCAATAGATCTAATACTTTAATATGGTATGGCCTTTCTGAGAAATTAACATTATGTGTAAGGAGTTTTAAAGTTGACCCCAGATCTATTTAATCAATGTGTCATCTACTTACCAAATCACTTGTTAGTGAAAGAATATACATTGTATAGAAACAAAACAATGACTGGAAAACCAGAAATAAATGTAAAAATTGTGGTTAGCAATTCCTCATTTTACAAATCAATATTTCTTGATATTTGAATTTGTCAAAATATTCTGGCTGAAAAATTTGAATTTTCTTAATATACACAAATATTAAAAATGGAATTTAAACAAACTGTGGATTAAGTTGCAAAATATTGACTGCACAAATTAAAGTTACTAAATCACTGGAAACTTAAACCTATGGTTGTTTGAGGAATTACAGTAAACCAGTATTTGCTGTCTTCTGTATAAAAAGGACACATTTCTCCTACAGCAGATATGTTCTCTCAGGGAGATGCCTAAGGGACTGAGTGGGCAGCCCATGTTTTATCTCTCTACTGAGAGTAAAAGACCCAAATCTCTGTTCACTGTTTCAATTATTTTGCTCTCAGTATCAGACAAAAACACATTTAGAAATTTGCAAATCCATTTGAGCCACATAATCCAATTTTGGACTTGAGCAAGCAACTGGTTAAAATATAAATCTCCTCTTAAACAAGGTACAGCAAAAGCCATCCAGCAAAGAAAATTCTCTTCATTTCTGTTTCTTGCCATATCATATATTATTTTTAAAATTTAAACTGTGGGCTTATAGAATTTATTCTACATATTACATTCTGAAAAGCTGTTACAATGAATATATTAAAATATTTCATCTATTACCAAGAATTCAACTCAGTATTAGTATTTGAATTTCTAAGCATTAAGCTCATGTACAGGGTTCTAAACAAATACTATCACAAAGAACATGTGAATTGAAGGACATGTCCATTCTTTTGGAGAATTTCATTAAAATAAGTCTGAATATCATGTCACAGATCTGACCAAATACTCATGGTTTCCAACTATGCCAAAACAAACAACAAAGGAATGCATACAATTTTGTAAAAACACAGATAAAGTTAGTTATAAGTTTTGAAAAAGAAAAGCAAAGGCTGAGAATGTTTACAAAACACTTTAAACATCTCCTACTGGGAGAGGTCCCATGCAATTCTGCTGGGCAGAACTCAGGATGGTTTACTATGATCAGCCAAATTATGACCCACTGTAATTTGTCAAACTCTATAGATTATTAAAGCATAAATTCTACATGTATATATCTATTCATGTATACCTATGATTTCTAAAAATCATGTCAAATAATGTAATTTTCAGTCACATCCCAATTTATAGTTTGAAAATAATTTGATTGACATAGGATTAAAGAATTTTATAAGCCAGAAAGTCAGTTTTGTTGATATTTAATTAGATGGTCAACTCTTTACTATTTATCTTCTGCAACAACTTTATTTTCAAATCATATATTCAATTATAAAGAAGTCTAGCTTCTACATATTTTAACAATCAAGCAATATTAGGACACATGAAGAACATTTGATGTGCATGTATCAAATTTTGTTATGTTTATTTTCATCATCTGAATCCTATTTAAATTATGGCTCATGAAAATCTCAAATCAAATATTCCTCAAAAAAGTAACTTTACTGCTTTCCTTTAAAAGTTTAATGATGCATTTTTTGCTAGTTAGCATAAGTAAATAATAATATGTAAATTCTAAAGCATAGTATACCAAAAGCAAAGCAAGTCTTACACATTTTTCCTGTGTACTTTTATTCATAGCTACTTTATTTATGGACTTTAACTGGTGACAAAAAATGGCTCAAAAAAATCAGCTCCAAAAACTGACAAATGTGCAGCAAAGGATCATGAAAACATGCAGTGGTTTCATTAAATTAACAACAATAAATAGAAAAATGTAACTAACGTATTACCAGTTTGTGCCATAAATTTAGCAGCATCAGCTTGTTCCTGAGGGACCCTTTTCTCATGGACAGATCGAGGTCGCTGACTTTTAATTGTATGATCTCCCATCATTCCAAATTCTAAAGACAGAATAAAGGTATATGAAAGCCTGTGTGTAGACATTTCTCACAAATTACATTCCTGTCCCATGCAATATGTTCCTGCGCAGACCTAGAAATTATTGATCAGTTCACAGTTCTAACTTTTTTAGTCTGATCTGCTTGGAAGTATGTCTCAGCTTAAGCTAGAAAATCTGCATCATGAACAGCTTTCAAGAAACAATAACATTCAGTAAGTGATACACCCGATGGTAAGTTAACTCAAGTAACAGAACATATTGTACACTTCTCGGGCAATGTTCTGCAGTCACATATCAGAAGAAAAAAAATATAACCAGAATATTAATTGTTTTCCTCAAAGTATCCTGACTGAGTGTCGGCTGCCTCTGGCTAAACGTTTGTCACCCCAACAAGGTTTCCAGCACCTTCCAAAGTAACGGACAACTCTGTTTCCTAACTTTCTAAAGATCCATTCAGAGAATGGATTTTGTTTAAAATTCAAAGATGAGGTAGCCCTGGTTTGCCTCAAGATTCACAAAAACTGGGAGCCTCAGAAACACTGATTCTTCCTTGCCCTAATTTAACTAACTCCACACTTTCTCTAACCACATATAAAGCAGTGTTGTCTCATTAATTTTTTGTTCAAACAAAAGAGTCTAGGTTTTTGTATTTTAATTGTTCTATAATAAAGCTACTAATAAAAACAAAAAAGCATCTGTGCCTATCAGACAATTAGAAAAAAAAGTGTGGAGATGAAAATTATTCAATCAATAGAAGAGATTCTGAGTAGTACATTTCCAAAATTTCATGTGCTTTCATGGATTAAATCCATAGGACTCCAGGTTAGTGCTGTGCTTACTGAACTGTTACAGTGATCTAGTGGCAGCCAAGTCTAGTGTATGAAATGCTAGATGGCTCTAACTCCTACAGTCAGGTAGGGAAAGAAAAGCGCTAGCATTCTTGCTAGGAATATTGTGGTACATGCTCTTACATCAAGAATGTTACTGATCTCTTGATACACAAAAGTTAAGAATGAAAATTTGACAACAAGTTTTACTCCTTAGCCATGTTCTCATCAATTTTTAAATGTACTTCTGTTAAAATACAAGATATTACCAATGTGTTTTGTAAGCAGCAATTCTACCAACTCCTATCTTTTATGTAAGAAAATGGCTAGCATATTGATTATCCAATCAAAATCTTATCCAATTATGAGCCTGGACAAATCCACGTTAAGAAATTCTTTCTACATCTTCCACTAAAGAATTCACATTCTGAGATATTTGAGAAGTCTAAATGTGTGTCTCTTTTTGTCAATTAGGATAATATTCAGTGTCAGAAAACGGAAATACTGTAAAGTGTCAGTTTACTTGATAAAATAAAATCCATCACTATTTTCTATCCTGAATAAACATTTTTCATTCATTCATGTGTAAACTATGTGTAAACAATTTCTCACTGAGAATAGAAGTATTTAATTACCATTAAATTTGCTATTTAGAACATTTGAATTACAGTTATTCACTATATATATTTATAAATTATATATTTAAACTGTTATTCAATTAATTTTTCACTGTGTCTTCACTAGCAAACAAATATTAGTGGTAAGTTTTATTAACAATATACATCAACTTTCCAATTAAAATTATAATTTAACTTGAATGTTCTGTAAGTTTTTATAATTTTCCATATTAACATCATAGTATATCTTTCCATAATACCATTGGGGGCTCTAGTGCTCACACTAAGATAGTTTTGGCACAAGAATGTAAAGAATGAAAGAAAACATTTATCCTATGTATACAACTTTTAAGTTACAAAGTAACGACAGAACCAATTTGATGGAAGATCATTCTTAATCTCAGTGGCAGCATGGGAATAACCTGTAATGTATCTTCTGAGAAAAATACTGCAACATTAAGGGAAGTATGATCCTGATGATTAAGGTTGTGGGTATTGTTAACTCTTCAGTGGGACAAATTAAAAAAGTATCACACTAAATTTCTAACAATTTTACAAACATAAGCAAAAGTCAAATGTTGATTTTTAAAATTGAATTTAGGCTATTATTTTGTATTACTAGTCAAGTAATTTCTATATCTCAAAAATATTTACAATCCAAATGACACTTAAATATTCAAGTTTGGTTACCACCTACCATCAATTATTTATTGATGAACATTAAATCCTAATGAATTGTTGTACTGATGTGTCATCTTAATTGCATCGCATACAAACACAAGTTTAAAGTGGACTGTTGATTATTATGGCAATAAATTTTAGCTGGAAAATCTTTAAAGATGAGAATTGTGCTTTTGTTTTTCTAGTGGGCATCAAATCTAGGGTCTTAATACACATTAGACAAGCACTGTACCACAGAGCTATATCTGAAGCTAAAATGACAATGAATATGTGGTCCTGTTATAGACAAATTCCATATTATATGTTAGATACACCAATGATTCCCTTTCTTAGAAGGCAAAAGAACTGTATGGTGGCATTAAAAATATTCCAGGCCTATTAATTAATATTAAAGTATCAAATTGAACATGAATTATGCTGTTATCTAACCAGGCGTGTTTCGATACAACATCATCTGCATTTCAAATTGTTAGAAAATAGAAATCTCTTTTGTCTAACTTTAATAAAAAAGTAATATTTTACAACAAATGTTCCACATCGCATGATGGGTTATTTTTAAAGCATTTATGTTGCCTTATATTTCTTTCATGATGGCATTATCTTTGTTTCTAATGAAAATAAAGGCCAATTGGATCATTCAAATGTAAGAGACAAAGCTATTTTACTAGTGTGCTCTCATGTGGTCAATGTAGTTTATATTATTATGATTTCTAGATAATATAGAGTCTTCATGAATGGTTGATTTATAATCATACAGTCTGCATTGGCAAGGATAATATACTACATTAGTTACACAAGGAAAATAACCAAATAAAAAGATGATCTGCTCTTGTGAAAGCAATGAAAAGCAAGCTGTGAAATCAAATGAAAAAGTACAGCATAATAGTGCATATGAGCATGTGGTACATGACTTTTGGAAACAACGAGTTATTTCCTCTGTCTTTATGTTGATGGCATTGATGAAGTGGTGAGTAAATAGCTGTTCATGTAGAAAATCCCAAAATGACTGAAGATGACTAACAAGTTTTAGGGTTTTTCCCTCAGTCATTCACTACGCTTCTTGCTAAAAGCCAAAGTTTCTGAAAGGTAGATGCATGAAAGAAAGGTTTTGAAAGTCATCTCTCTTAAGTCTAGGCCTATGATGTGATTAGGTAAGAGCTCTTTAGTAAACAAATAGACTTTAGACTTGACGTTTGATCATCAATTATCAGTTATGGGAATTTTGTTTGGAAGTTGAGGGAGACACTAATATGTGGTTTAATTTATCAAAAAGTCAAAAGCACATCTACTCATTATTTTACTAATATGTTTATTTTAAATATATGGACAAGCATATGACACTGGGCAGCAGGCATGACACTGTGATTTAATACACAGACTGACTTGACAATGTGCAGACATTCCTTTGCATTTCCACTAACATCAACCAAATTCAGGCCATTATTGATTTTTAGAATAGTCCCAAGAATTATGGACCATTTATGCGCTGTTTGAACTGTACTACTGCTTGCCAGCGATACCTGTACTCAGCACTGTCTCCAAGGAAAAGGTCTGCTCCATCAGCAATGTCTGTAGTAAAGCCCCTCTCTAACTTCAGCTTCTGCAACAGCACCAAAAAAAAAAACACCCACACCTCAAAAAAATTAAGGAGTTGGCTTTGTCCTCTTGAAATACTCATTTGTCTAGAAGCACCAACAAATTTGAATTTTTCCTTTATATAGATAAAATGTATATATTATATAGATACATTTATATATTATTTTTCCTATTACATTACAAACTTTTATTTTCTCATTTTGTTTGTTTGAGAAAGGTTTTCATGCAGCCCTGGCTATCCTGGAACCGCAATAAAACAAAGACTAATCTTAAAATTTACCACTGAACAAGATATTCACCACCACAACCTAACTTTAAGCAAAGCACCTAGAAAATTTAAATGAGATTTTTATTTGTCAAAATGTAATAGGAGAGAATATCACAACATTGCTTGTTGACAAAGGATAGTAGGGACAAAGAAATTCTGTTATGAAGCCACAATATAGTCTAGGAAGCCAGTTGGACATAGTTAATGTATTCTAAGTTCACAGTTGGGATGGTGTATAATTACTGAATTTGTCATTTATTTTCAAAATAATTGGAAATAGCTGTCACAATGATTCTGTACATAAAGCTGTTCTTCTGCCTAATAAAATTATAAACATGTAGACTCTAAAGAGAAACTAAGACTGCCCCTATTAGAATATTTTATTTCTGTAGTTTTCTAATTTTTCCAACTTTTTGAAATGTATGCAGAATTTGTATTTGCATATTCTCATTTCATAAACATTTGCTAAGTCCTTATATATCCAAATGTTTTATGAAACAATAGAAGGAGAAAGAGGCAAAGATTGAAGTCTTCACAATCAAACATGCATTATCAAAGGCTAGATTTTTTTAAATTATATACACTACCTAGATAATCAAAAACACTTTAACAATATTTACCATTGGTTGTAAAATACTTTAGTTTTCTAAAGAACAGAATCAATAACTACAAGACAACTTTCAAAAAACCCAAGAATGAAAGTTGCATAATAAATTGATTAATATTGGAAAATATCTAAATAAAAGAAACATGTTCTTAAAATATGCTAGGAACCCAAGAAACTCATTAAATTTTAAGATGTCAACATTTACTCCTTGCTATACATTATTTTAGATTTCATTATCAGATTTATATCCCTGGCTATGGGGACAATGATGATGATGATCTTTCTCACACTAGCAAAGCAGAATTTTGCTTTGCACAATACTCTGGCAGAAAGTACTTTACTAGGTAGCTAAGCTATTTCTAGAAATGGATAAAGTATTAAATAAACAAGTATGTGCTGCCATCA